AAAGAAGAAACCCTTAAAGTGAACAAAGTTTGGCTACCAGTCCTGAAATACACCAAAATCAAGACCCAGCAAAATGCAAATGAAAACCACCTAAGATCAGGGTTTTTCCCAGCAGACAATGGTTCACTAATTAAATAGACACAAATCCTCCTTGCATATCCTTGGCATACAACAACATAACAATACACAGATTTACATGTAAATCACTCCTCCTCGCCTAGGGTCACACAGTATATATATACCCCACTCACTTCCATGCCAGCATTTTCTGAAGATGCCAACCACAGATGCTGGCAAAGTCAGAAATAAACTCTTCTAGAACATGGCAACATAGCCCAAAAAACCTACAAAAAACTATAGATGCCGGTTATGAAGGCCTTCAACTTCTCTAATACAATTTGAAAGGATCACTCCTCCTGCATTAATTTACAGCAGCTGTACCTTGATGATTTAATGGCCAAGAAGATGCATGGCTCTATGGCCAACTTTTGCTAGAAGTTACACTGAAAGACCCTGGGATTCCTAGAGGGACCTCCAGCTTCTCTAGGCATGTCTAATTCTCTAGGCATTTATATGTCCTCCAGCACAATTCTGTGGTCAGCTTCTGGTGGATGTTAACCATATAGTTATGCTGGAGAACCTAGAGATTCCTAGAGAAGTGTTCCTTAGGTTTAAAAAAAATGCTTTCTTTATTTGCAGTTTCTCCACTTTCACGGGGGTCCTGTATCCCTAACCTTAGTGAGTGTGGAGAGCCTTCTGTACTTTGTGGAATTAAACTTTTTTTATTGACTCCATGAATGCAGAATCTGTGGATATGGGAGGCCAACTGTACTCTTTTACTAATACATTGTGCTGTGAATAGACTGTATGCATACCAGCTGCTGTTGGCTATATTTCAGAGGGAGCAACTGGGAAAAACACCTCTGAGTATTCCTTGTCTAAGAGGACCCTAAGAAATTATGGGGTCACCATAAGTCGACAGATGATTTGAAGGCACATACATGCCCACATATCCTCAGAAAATGATTTCTCCATGTTTGCTCCATCCTCAGATATTTAGGGGATCAAGGCCAAAACAATTCCTCTCTCACACCCACAGATATAATCTGAGCAGGCAAGGGAGTTGTTAACCTGCTGCTGACAATCACTTAAAGACATGCAAGTGTAAACTGAGTAATTATTTGGCAATTTACTGCTCTGGGGATTTATGGTTGTGGCAGATCCCTGGGTGCTGAAAAGGATTAGGCCTTGCGGTGAATAAGAATAGCATCTGCTGTCCTGGCCGGCAGGGATGATATTACAAGGGCAAGCAGTCCTCTTGCACAATCCCGTCACCTGCTAGGATTAAGACAGAAAATGTCCTCTCTTCTCCTGTGGGCTGGCATTGCACAATTCAGGGCATTCTGGAAGTCTTATATTTCCCCCTCCTACATGCTTGGAATGATTAGGGGCTGAACAGGTGACTTTTTCTTGAACTGGGCCATTGTGACCTCCTTCCCAGGATCCTATCTATGTGTTGGAACATATCCATGACTATGTTGCTTTCTGAATGCATACTCGTGGTTTACCAGCATAAACCATGTGCTGCCTCTTAAAGGAAAACATAAACTCTCAGCCTCCACCTCCTTTTCCATCAAGCTAATTCTAGAAGTCCTGCTGCAGTCCTGGTTTACAGTACAGCCATAAACTATATATATAAACTTGCATTGTGATAAAGAGAAAATCAACTGATTTGAGATGTGGTGCTGGAGAAGAGTGCTGAGAATACTGTGGACAGCCAAAAAGACAAATGGTTCCTTGAACAGATCAAAGCTGATATTTTCCTGGAAGTCAGGATGATCAAACTGAGGCTGTTGTACTTTGGCCACATCATGAGAAGGCATGACTCTTTAGAAAATGCAATAATGCTAGGAAAGGTTGAGGGTAGTAGAAAGGAGGGAAGACCACACACCAGATGGATAGACTCAATTAGGAAGGTTACGGACTTCAATCTTCAAGACCGAAGCAGAGCAGTGGAGGACCAATGGTCTTGAAAATGCCTCACCCATAGGGTCGCCATGAGTCAAAGTCAACTCAAGGGCATCTAACAACTATAACAACTCCCCCCATTATTTAATAAACTTACTGTTACCAATGTTCATGTGTAGATCCTGAAGCTCAACAAATAACCCACTAGCTCCCACATAACCTCTTTAACTCATACAATCATAGTGTTGGAAGATATGGCAAGGACCATCCAGTCCAACTTTATTCTGCCATGCAGGAAGACACAATCCAAGCACTCCCAACAGATGGCCATCCAGCCTCTGTTTAATAAGCTCCAAAGAAAGAGACTCCACCACACTCCGAAGGAGTGTGTTCCACTGTTGAACAGCTATTACAAAAAAGAAATTCTTCCTAACTTGTAGTTTGAATCCATTGCTCTATGTCCTAGTCTGAATACTAGAATACTGTGTCCATTTTGGTCGCCCTCCTCTGGACCAACTTGTCAACGTCCTTCTTGAATTGTGGCACGTATAACTGGACACAGTATTCCAGATGACTTCTGACCAAAGCAGAATAGTGTGATACTATTACTTCCCTTGATTCATCCAGCCTCTGTTTAAAAACCTCCAGCACACTCCAAAGCAGTGTCTTCCACTTTCCAACAGCAATTACTGTCAGGAAATTTTTCCAAATATTAAGTTAGAATCTCTTTTTCTGTATCTTGAATCCATTGCTTCATGTCCTGGAGCAGCAGATAATAAGCTTGCACCTCCAGGGTTGTAAATTGTCAGAGCTCACAACTTATTTATTTTTTAAAAGCCACTGCTGAAGGATTCATCATGTTTGTGGATAAGAGTCACAGTAATTTTCCAAACTCTGCTTTAAATTATTTTTTCCTTGGTTGTTCATATGTCTCTATCAGAATAAATGCTTCTTTGCATACATTGGAGGTTCTATATGTGTACATGCACAGTCCTATGTCTTCTCATTGCCTGGCAGCTCAGAGGGGCCTTTATTGCTGTCACTTATCAGTGGGAATAGAAAGAAGTGGGGAGACCATAAAGATGCAGTTAGTCTCAGCTCAGTTGAGGAAAGGAAGGAATGAGGGTGAGCTCTTAAATGGAGTTTGGTGTTGTTGTGTGCCTTCAAGTCATTTTTGACTTATGGAGACACTAAGGCAAACCTATCATGGAGTTTTCTTGGCAAGATTTGTTCAGAAGAAGTTTGCCATTGCCTTCTCATGAGGCTGAGAGCATGTGATGTGGCCAAGGTCACCCAGTGGATTTTATGGTTGGACTGGGAATCGAACTCTAGGCTTGAGCCATAGTCCAATGCTCAAACCACTCTGCCATGCTTGCTCTCCTTAAATGGAGTACATCTACCTAACTTTTCCTTTCCCCAGATGTTCAGAGCAACCAGATCTTCATAATCTGAATCATCTCCCCTTCCTTCTGGTAAGAAGGAGCACATACTCTCCAACTGTCCCAATTTGACAGGGACAGTTGCGATTAATCTTCTGTTATCCCACTTTTTTAGGTGGTTTTAAAATGTCCCAGTTTGACTCTCCCCCTCCCTCTTTGTCCTCAGCTTATTTCATTTGCTGCAAACTGAGTTCAAAGTGCAAAAGTAGTTTAACTCAGCAGGGGGAGAGGAGGGGGCAAAATCTCACCATTCCCAGGAGGCTTGGGCAAAAGCAAACTGCTGCTGCCTTTCTTAGCTTGTATGTCCATCCTTACTGATAACTTTTGCCATCTTGACCACACGCAGATGTTGCTTGGCCACACATGTTCTATTTATCATCAGTTAAATGCACGGTTTGGGAGTAGCAGTTTCCAGGGTGTTGGATGGAGAGCAAGGGCAAAAGAATTCCCCTCTGTGTCCTTTCCAAAAAGGGACTTAAATATGCATAAGCTTCACTTATGCACACATAAATAGGATACCAACCAGTGTAACACGAGCTGTGAAGAAATTTTCAGAGATAACTGAGTCCGTTTCAGTATAAAAAGAAGACAGAAGAAATCTAGTGGCACCTTTAAGTTTGGTGGCATCTTTTGAGCTTTTGAAGAGTTGGGTTTTATTTGAACTGTTACTCCCAGAATTCCCCAGCCAAAATTCCCCAGCCTCAGGGGAGGGCAATGGGAAACCTCCTCTGAACAAATCTTGCCAAGAAAACCCCATGATAGGTTTGCCATAAGTTGGAGACAATTCGAAGGCATACGAAAACAAGCTACCCAAACACATTTGCAAGGCACTCTTGCACCAAAAATTATCCTCCATTCCACTAACCTCAGCCTGACATTCCAGGAGAAGAGCGACCCAAAAGAAACTCGCCTTGTTTCGTCACAGCTTTTTGGTAAAACAGTAATAATAAGAGAACGAAGACACCCTCTTCTCAGTCCCTGCCCCACATCTTTTTCTGCAAAAAATAGGATTCCAGTTGCAATCTGCAGGAAACGGAATGCAAGGCATTCTCCTGATGTTGGCAGTGAGTAGTAGCTGATGACCAAATAGGTCTCCTCTGTCTTTGGATCCCAGTTGGCATTTCAGCCCCTTGAGGAATGAGCAGACTGCTTCTGCCATGCTTTCAACGCCTGCTGAACCCACCACATTCCCCACATAGTAGCCAGCTATGTGGTTACTACTCCTTTTCAGGAGTACTAATATGGTTTCCCACACTAGCCCCCTATAATTAATGTATGGTGGTGCAAAGATTGCAAGGCTCCTTTTCCTTTAGCTGGCAAACGCCATCCTTTCTCACAATAATCCACAAAACAGTAATACTTTTATTGGGCCAGCCAAAGTGAACAAAATATCTGTTGCAAGCATGCTTACTTGTGCTTTATGTTTCTCATTCCTGGCTATGGGGAGCTGCCCATTGACCTGGACAAATAATGCATTTTGTACATTTTGGTTGGCCCAATAAAAGTGTAATTGTTTTATGGATTTTGGAACTTTTGTACTTTGCTATATGGCCAACATGGCTACCCTGGATATTCTTTCTCCCTATTGCACTTGCCAAATGAGTGACTTAATGGTCTGAGTGTTGGACTGTGACACTGGAGACCTGGGTTCGATTCCTAGCTTGGCCATGAAACCCACTGGATGACCTTGGGCAAGTCACATGCTCTCAGCCTCACAAGAGAAAGCAATGGCAAACCTCCTTTGAAGAAATCTTGCCCCCTAAAAAACCCATGTTAGGATTTGCCATAAGTCAAAAATGACCAGAAGGCACAACAACAACAACAGCAACAAACCAAATATTAAGGGGACATCCAAAAACTATGTCAAATTTTTATTGTACGGTCCAATACATACGTGTGCACAAGAAAATCTCATTGCAACAAATGGGTCTTACTACTGAAATATGCATGTAAAGGAGGGCAAGTCTACATTAAACTGCCCTCTTCCAGTTCCTTTACTCCCACTGTCTTCAGTCTTAAACCACTTCTTTCCATCATAATTTTGTTTTTTGTTTCTCATTGACCAGGGAAAAAATGACCATTGACCAGGAAAAATAATCACCTGGCTAGAAAATTCATTTGAAAAGTGTGCTGGAGAAGAGTTTTATGAATGTCATGGACTGCTAAAAAGACAATAAAATGGGTCTAAGGCTGCTGCCACACTGGAGAATTAATGGAGCTTAACACTGCTTTAATATTATCTCATCCTATGGAATCTTGGGATTGTTGTTTGGGCACCATAACTATCTGACTGAGAAGGCTAAATATCTCACAAAACTACAAATCCCAGAATTCCATAGTATTGAGCCATGGCAGTTAAAGCAGTATCAAACTGCATGAGGTGGTTGTACTGTAACCCCCAGCATTACTCCCATTTGGCTAGGACTGCTGGGAGTTGCAGTTGTAAAGAAGGACTTGAACTTGAGGAATTACTAAAGTCCAAGTCTTCAATTGGATCTTTTATCCTGTGTTTACTGAGGTGGCTAGGGAATAGACTGATAGAAACAAAGCTTTCCAATGAACTGTATTTTATTTGGGGATTCAAACATACAAGGACACTCTATCATACACTCATACACACAAGAACTCAGGAATAAAGTAGTTAGCTTGGAGAGGAAACACAAGGCTTTCTAATGGTGATAATTACCTGAAGGAGGCTGCTGAATGAAGATGGATCGACTCAACCATTATGAAAAGGGAAAGGACAACGGAAAGAGCCGGGACCCAAGTCAGAGTTCACAGTGGTGCACTATCACCATGAAATCTAACCAGACCCTGAGTATCACCATGAAATCTAACCAGCCTGAGATTTTGGGGATCTTTTATACCTTTAAACCTAGCCCGAGTGAAGAGTTGCTATTGTATATCAAAGGATTCCGATTGCTACTCTTTGAAGTAGATAATTTCCAAAGAGAGGAGATGGGATGTTAATGTTATCTCATCTTCAGCCGGATACATCCTGGCTGGTACCCATAAATTTACGGTACTAGGTGTGAATGTCCTGCATTGCAGCTCCTAGGCTTGGCCCTTTTGATCTGCAAATTGTTGTGAGTGCAGATGTGACCTTTCAGGTGCCTACGTGATGTGCTCGCCTTTGGTCCATGGCGATTGGGCTTCTCCCAGTCTAGGGCCATGGCAGGGACCCAAAAGGGGTCTTTATATCAAATCAGTCATCATAACACAGTTCAACACCATTTAGAGGGCTTTAGGTTTCCTAAGCCCTGATATAGTACAACTGTCTGGAAGCTGCCTCTTTAGCTTCCCATAGAGTGGCTATGTCCTTTGGTGCAATGGTTTTGGTGTTGGACTGGGTTTTCAGGAGACCGAGGTTCAAATCTCTGCTTCGCCATGAAATTCCACTGAGTGACTTTGGGAAAGTCACACGTCTTAGAGGAAGGCAATGGCAAACCTCCTCTGAAGAAATCTTGCCAAGAAAATTCTAAGAGAGGGTCACCATAAGTCAGAGTCTGCTTGAAGGCACATAACAACAAACCCAGCCTGTCTCGGTGCGATTTTCCTAACTGGAGGTTTCTTCTTTGTACTGGTGCTTGGGGAATTTATCGCTTTATTGCTGGATTTATCTCAGATGAACACCAGATGGCTTGTCAGGGTCCTGCTACACAGCTCATGCACTCAGTGCTTCCCTAAACAGCTGTTGGCTGGGAAACAACCAGGATCGCTGTGCCTTCGAAACTAGAACTAGGCTTCCTTCTTCACATTAGGATTATCGGCTCTCCAGTAATGTGCATGCCGTGTTTTCTTTGTAGTACAGCCAGTCCCACGTGGGTAGCATCCCTCTTTGGCATGCCCATTTTGGAGGCATGCGTGTTGGGTACAGAACTGGCAAATGTTACTCTTTTCAACGAGAACACCCAGAATCTAAAGCTCAGAAATGTAACTATGTGCTATTACAGGTTACAAGAAGGAAGTCTTTACTTTTTCATTTTTCTGAAGTAGAGTTTGGGAAAGCTACTTTTAGGCATGACAGTTCCCAGAATACAGAATATTGGGCATGTCTACACAGACCAATTAAACAGGTTTCCCCCTGCCTTCTCCACAACCTGTCTGCTTGATGCAGGGTCAAATCACCAATTCTTCACAATGCGAGCCCAGTTCTGAACCAAATCCCTATCCCTCCCTTAAACCAGTGTAAAAAACCCTCACCTTTTGCTCCAGATTTTGCGGGAAAATCCAGAGCACTTCATAGCAATGCTGGGTGGCTGTTTACATTGTGTGATTTCTGTTGTTGTTGTTGTTGTTGTTGTTAACCACGCTTGAGTCAATCTCGACCCATGGCGACTCTGCTGATGAGATATCTCCAAGACCTCCTGTCCTTCACTGTTCTGCCCAGCTCCTGCAAACTCATACTTGTGATCTCTTTAATAGAGTCCATCCATCTAGTATGCGGCCTTCCTCTCTTTTTGTTTCTCTCCACTTTCCCCAGCATTATTAGTTTTTTTTTTCAATGAGTGTATTCTCATGATGTGTCCAAAGTATGACAGCCTCAGTTTTGTCATCCCAGCTTCCAGGGAGATCTCTGGCTTGATCTGCTCTAGAACCCATTTGTTTGTTTTTTTTGGCAGTCCACAGCATCCTCAGCACTCTTCCCCAGCACCACATCTCAAATAAATTGAAATTCTTTCTATCTTCTTTCTTAACTGTCCAGCTCTCACATCCATACATGGTAATAGGAAATACAATGGCTTGTATGATCCTGACCTTTGTGTGCAATTGTAAATCTTTGCATTTTAGAATCTTTTCTACACCTTACTTAACAAGACTACATGTGAAAGGGATCGAAGAATCCTAGTAAAAAACAAATTTTGAACATGAGTCAACAGTGTGATGTGGCAGCTAAAAAGGCCAATGCAATTCTAGGCTGCAACAATAGAAGTATAATGTCTCTAGATCAAGGGAAGTAATAGTGCCACTCTATTCCTCTTTGGTCAGGACTCACCTGGAATACTGTGTCCATTTGTGGGCATCACAATTCAAAAAGGATGTGAAGAAGCTGGAGCATGTCCACAGGCAGATGACCAAAATGGTGAAGGATCTGGAAACCATGCCCTATGAAGAGAGACAAAGGGGGGAAGCAGTCTGCCAGAAATAGTGCAAACTGAGTCCACTTTAACTGCCCTGACTCAGTGTTAGGGAAACATGGGAACTGTAGTTTATTGTGGCACCAGAGCTCTCTGACAGAGAAGGCTCAATGTCCCAGGAAAAAAAAAATCCCCATGATTCCCTAGCACTGAGCCAGGACAGTTAAAGTGGACTCAATTTGCACTATTTCTGGCAGTCTGCAAAGGCCCTAAATAGTGCAAATTGAGTCTGCTTTAACTGCCCTGACTCAGTGCTAGGGAATCATGGGAACTGTAGTTTATTGTGGCAGTGGAGCTCTCTGACAGAGAAAGCTCAATATCTCAGAAAAAAGTACAATTCCCATGATTCCCTAGCACTTAGCCAGGGCAGTTAAAGTTGACTCAATTTGCACTATTTCTAGCAGTCTGCAAAGGCTCTGAGAGAGCCGGGTATGTTTAGCCTGGAGAAGAGACGATTAAGAGGTAATATGATAACCCTGTTTAAATATTTGAAGGGATGTCATATTGAGGATGGAGGAAGCTTGTTTTCTGCTGCTCCAGAGAATGGGACATGGAGCAGTGATACAAACTAGAGGGAAAGAGATTTCACATCAACATTAGGAGGAACCTCCTGACAGTAAGAGCTGTTCGACAGTGGAGTGGTGGAGTCTCCTTCTTTGGAGAACTTTAAACAGAGGCAGGATCGCCATCTGCCAGGGGTGCTCTGATTCTGTGTTCCTGCATGGCAGAATGGAGTTAGACTCTTCCAACTCTATGATTCTGTGTCTACATGGGCCAAATGAAGTGGTTTCCCCCATTTCCCCTTGTCCTCGTGGCAATCTGTCTTCATGAAATCCCTGATTCAAGTGCGGACTGTACATAAGGCCAGTTCTGTACTGGATCTGCCCTTTACCTCCCTTTAACCTGCTTAAAATATTTAAATTTATTTGGAGTTGTGTAAATGTCTTCCAACAAATCCACAGCTTTTGGATTACAGCTCTCATCTTCCAGCCAACGTATTCAGTGGCTATGTTAACTGGGGAATTCTGCAAGCTTTAGTCTCAAAAAGTAAAGTTTCCAAGTTTCTGGACATATTTGAACTCCAGTTTGGTCCTGTTGATTCAAGTGGAAAAGATACCAGGCGCTAATAGGCAAATGCTTTCTCGAAAGAGAGGTGAATCTTTGGCTTTTCTCTTTTTTGCCTTCTTGGCACAATAAAATTGAGATATATATTTGTAAGCCCTGGCCATGTTGACAGATTGCTTCTGCAAGTCTGTGATTGATCCCCACAGCTGAAAAGCAGGATTATGGCTCTGTTTTACCGCAGGAGAGCTACAGCCAGCGGTGTGATGAATGGGGTTCATTCAAAGATGACGCTATAGATAGAGTTGTCAACAGCAGGAGCTGTTTTTATTCTCCCTCTCTGCCTCGGCATCTGTGGAGATAAGACAAAGCAGGGCCAATTAACTGTGGTTTGTTGGGGGGCATCGGATGATTATGCGGCCCTTCCTTTAAAGCTCTTCCACAGGCTGTAAAGTTCACAGCAGACA